GCCCCAAGTTTTGTGAAGTCTTGTGTAAAAGCACAGATTTACGTTGCCGCTTGCCACCTTTTCTACTGAAATTGATATCTGAGCGGCCTTCTGGTAAAGGTTACTCATTTCCTTATACGTAGTTCAGTCGATACATTAGTAAAGCAGGCTAGTTGGACCCCAGATGCCCGTCTAAATACATGCAGCTTCCAACCGCATTCAAACATCTCCTGGACTATACAGGGGAGCAAGTGAAGGAGAATGAAGCCGCTCACACCAGACCTACTACCCTAGTTAAACTAGAGGAAGGGGTGAACGCCTACACGATGCCCTGTTCTGAATAGACAATCAGGCGCTTACACTGCGTGCCAGACCAGGTAAGCGAATATTACACTTCCCCCTTTCATTATTATTCAGCCAACTTTTAGAGATGTTGTTGTAGAACTCCAAGGGCCGGCTTGTTGACACACGTTACGTCAACGACTCCATTAAACATGCGTCTCTAGAGCCTATGGAAATTAATGGAAAAAAAAAGGTTGTGCAGGGTTCATCAAAATTCATCACGTTTTGGACCTACTACAGTATCCGTCTGCCTGTCCTTCGGCTACAGAGAAAAAATTAAATACGTCGCCCGGCAACCACAGAAAGACGGCAAAAACAAAATTTGCATTGGCAATTAACGTTTGGGTAACTTCGGGTGAAGGGGGGATAACCGTTGTGCAGTACAGGATTGGAGTGATTTGCAGCAAACGGTTGCGCATGCTACCACCTGGGAAGTTTTTTTCCTTCTGTCCATTTTGCTCAACTGTAACAGTATTGCTTATTTTTTCCACTTAGTGGGTTTTTACCTACCTCTTTTCTCGTCTTCATGCCCGTCCGTATGTCAACCCACTTTCGGTTGAGTTCTTCCTGTCTCTCGTTGACCGTCTTCTCATCCATCTTCACGTGGTCCTGCATCTCCTGTAGGGCTTGTGGGACTGAAACCCAATCTTCCTGATCGGGAATTTGAGTCAACACTGACGCTGACCTCTGCTCCTCTGACTTAAGCTTACCTCTGAGGGTTGTGGCCTCATCAAGCAGTTCTTTTGACTTCTGACCAAGAGCTGAGAGTCTAGAGGCGCCGATACTGGAGCTTCCCTAGAGTTGTATACGAACGAAAGTTAAAATGTGACTCCAAAACAGTGGGGGTGATGAAACAGAGGAAATTTAAATGATAAACGGTGAACTTTTCGTACGAGAGATCAAATGGTAATGGACTATGCTCGAGGGATATTTTTGCCGGAGAAAGCCACAGCTATGTAATATGGCAAAAGAAACCCTCTTGTTTTGAGCGTTATGATAGCAAAGATCATTAATATAAGCAGGAAAATTTCCAAAAATTTCCCACTGGAACCGGAGAATAAGATTATGAGTCAGTCAAAATCAGATGCATGCTAGTGCAAGGAATCGCATTTTTTCAACAAAAAGAAATGGATTTACATTTAAGAAATATTTTTTATCAATTTCTATTTGCGTTAATGGTTTACAATAACAGTGATTTTTCAAGTTTTCGGAATATGCGCTTTTTTAAAAAAAATAGTAGTGTTTCTTAATAAATTAATATTGCTTTAAATATTTCCTTTGTGTTTTAAATTTGCTTAAGATTATTCAGACTTTTCAAAAGTTTGGTGTGTTTTTGTTACTGTCGGTTTGCGGGTGATTATCGGGCATTTTGCACGACTCAGTTCATAACTTTTAATTTACTTAAGTTTAAATTTTTGCAGAGACACCACCGAACTGGATCTCATTATTGCATTTGTTCAACATTTAGGTACCACAAGTTGGAAGCGTCGTTAAGTGTATCATGCAAGAGATACTGAGAGTCAATCCTACTTCCAAGCATGCTCATAATTCCACCCTATTTGACCGAGTTTTGTGTAGCTCACGCTTTGCCCGCGCACACCAAATCAGTCACCAGTCTGTGTGTAACCAGGATAAGAACCATTTTATTCAATAGACAAGATATTAAAGGTAGGATACTTTCACATATATTATCATAGTAAACTTCCACTCTGCCCATGAACAGGGGACTTCTTGTGAAGCACTCGGAGGCCTCCGTTGGATTCAGAATCACGAGAACGAGATTGGAGACTTAATTACGGCCAACGCTCAAAACGACTAAGCTACGTGGTTCCATTGGAACCCGTGAGTCTAATCACACTTTGATCTGGTTACCTGCCCGGCTACGGAATCCACCGATCCTAATGCAGTAATTTGACTGTCCAAAGAGGACTTCCGAAGCACACAATCCACAAGATGATTAATAGGCGCACTTCATTAACTGGGGTGTGATTAAACCCATAGCTCTCGGGGCCTCCCACCTCAGGTGGCTAGAGCGTTAGCCGTACTGAAGCCTTCCCCTTGCTGGTGTGGGTTCAAATCACAGAGAGGCCGTCAATTTTTTCACAACTTGGATCAAAATAAGTTAGCATTTATTGAGATACCTGAAAGGTATGAGATGGCCTTTTTCAGGTAATCTTTTGCGTCTTGGCAAAATGTCTACTTGCGTTTCAAGACATTCGTATAACACTCACAGGTACCCTGTTATAAACCCTGGTTTCCAGAAAGTACGTGAACACATACCGGTTTGGTTAAGTAAAGTCGATAGGAATCATCGAGCCAAAGTTAATGAAGGCTTTCAGGTTGTCTACTGGACACCAGCTAACTTTTCCAAGGGCTTACGCCAACGGGTGCTTGCAACAGCCGAATTAGTGACCATACGGCTAGCAACTCCAGTGCTGTGTTGTCAGAAGAAGCTAACACGAGCAATTTCACTTCCGTGGCCGACGCCGACGCCAGGTGGCGATCGCACATTGTCCCCACCCCCTATTAACAGTCGTTCGCTCCATGTAAAGGTCAGTCATCATTACTCCATGTACCTGACCCATGACCAATGCCTACGACCTAATCCAATTTTCTCTTCTGCCCACCCTCCCCTAGCACAAGGACCTCTACATGCCGATCTCGCCATGCCGGTGGCGTGAAAACGATGAGTTGTAATCAAAGCACACTTATTAACCCTGTCCCACTGCAGTGGCCTGATGAAGAGTTGCAGAAAACATCTGTTTGGCAAATCGACTATTCAAATATTTTGTTTTCATCATAGGAGTATTCCGGCTCAGACAAGGCACCGTGATATAGCTATTTCGGG